CTATTTTGGTGTTTATATTAAATTAAACTACCACTGTAAGACTCTTTGTTTGGCTTTAGGTCCTGTTTTTGTGGTTATATTAAATTAAACTATCTCTATAAGACTCTTTGTTTGGCTTTAGGTCCTGTTTTTGTGTTTATATTAAACTAAAATATCTCTATAAGACTCTTTGTTTGGCTTTAGGTCCTGTTTTGGTGTTTATATTAAACTAAACTATCACTATAAGACTCTTTGTTTGGCTTTAGGTCCTATTTTGGTGTTTATATTAAATTAAACTATCACTGTGAGACTCTTTGTTCAGCTTTAGGTCCTGTTTTTGTGGTTATATTAAATGAAACTATCACTATAAGACTTTGTTTGGATTTCAGTCCTGTTTTGGTGTTCATATTAAATTAAACTATCACTGTGAGACTCTTTGTTTGGCTTTAGGTCCTGTTTTGTTGTTTATATTAAATTAAACTATCACTATAAGACTCTTTGTTTGGCTTCAGGTCCTGTTTTGGTGTTTATATTAAATTAAACTACCACTATAAGACTCTTTGTTTGGCTTTAGGTCCTGTTTTGGTGTTCATATTAAATGAAACTACCACTGTAAGACTCTTTGCTTGGATTTCAGTCCTGTTTTTGTGTTTATATTAAATTAAACTATCTCTATAAGACTCTTTGTTTGGCTTCAGGTCCTGTTTTGGTGTTTATATTAAATTAAACTATCACTATAAGACTCTTTGTTTGGATTTAGGTCTTGTTTTGGTGTTTATATTAAACCAAACTATCTCTTTGAGACTCTTTGTTTGGCTTTAGGTCCTGTTTTGTTGTTTATATTATATTAAACTACCACTATAAGACTCTTTGTTTGGCTTTAGGTCCTGTTTTGTTGTTTATATTATATTAAACTACCACTATAAGACTCTTTGTTTGGCTTTAGGTCCTGTTCTGGTGTTTATATTAAATTAAACTACCACTATAAGACTCTTTGTTTGGATTTAGGTCCTGTTTTGGTGTTTATATTAAATTAAACTACCACTATAAGACTCTTTGTTTGGATTTAGGTCCTGTTTTGTTGTTTATATTATATTAAACTACCACTATAAGACTCTTTGTTTGGCTTTAGTTCCTGTTTTGGTGTTTATATTAAATTAAACTATCTCTTTGAGACTCTTTGTTTGGCTTTAGGTCCTGTTTTGGTGTTTACATTAAATGAAACTATCATTCTGAGACTCTTTGTTTGGCGTTAGGTCCTGTTTTGGTGTTTATATTAAATTAAACTATCACTATAAGACTCTTTGTTTGGCTTTAGGTCCTATTTTGTTGTTTATATTAAATTAAACTACCACTATAAGACTCTTTGTTTGGCTTCCGGTCCTGTTTTGGTGTTTATATTAAATTAAACTACCACTATGAGACTCTTTGTTTGGCTTTAGGTCCTGTTTTTGTGTTTATATTAAATTAAACTACCACTATGAGACTCTTTGTTTGGCTTTAGGTCCTGTTTTGGTGTTTATATTAAATTAAACTACCACTATAAGACTCTTTGTTTGGCTTTAGGTCCTGTTTTGGTGTTTATATTAAATTAAACTACCACTATAAAACTCTTTGTTTGGCTTTAGGTCCTGTTTTGGTGTTTATATTAAGGTAAACTATCATTATAAGACTTTCTTTGGCTTTAGGTCCTGTTTTTGTGTTTACATTAAATGAAACTATCATTATTCTGAGACTCTTTGTTTGGCGTTAGGTCTTGTTTTGGTGTTTATATTTAATTAAACTATCACTATAAGACTCTTTGTTTGGCTTTAGGTCCTGTTTTGGTGTTTATATTTAATTAAACTATCACTATAAGACTCTTTGTTTGGCTTTAGGTCCTGTTTTGGTGTTTATATTTAATTAAACTATCACTATAAGACTCTTTGTTTGGCTTTAGGTCCTGTTTTGGTGTTTATATTAAATTAAACTACCACTATAAGACTCTTTGTTTGGCTTTAGGTCCTGTTTTTGTGTTTACATTAAATTAAACTATTTCTATAAGACTCTTTGTTTGGCTTTAGGTCCTGTTTTTGTGTTTATATTAAATTAAACTATTTCTATAAGACTCTTTGTTTGGCTTTAGGTCCTGTTTTTGTGTTTATATTAAACTATTTCTATAAGACTCTTTGTTTGGCTTTAGGTCCTGTTTTTGTGTTTATTTTAAATTAAACTACCACTATAAGACTCTCTTTTTGGCTTTAGGTCCTGTTTTTGTGTTTATATTAAATGAAACTATCACTACAAGACTCTTTGTTTGGCTTTAGGTCCACAACTGGACCTAAAGCCAAACAACGACTCTTATGGTGGTAGTTTAATGTACCGAACTGAAGGCGCTGTTTTTTGTCTTGTAAGAATTTATGGTCCTGTTTTGTCGACTACTGTGAATGGAAATCAAAGATTAACCGTTAATTACACACAGAATCAACTGATCGTTAGTGTAATCTGTAGTGTCCATAAGCTTGCATGATGCGCGTGCACGCGAAAGGTTGTCGGACTCCTTATCGTTTCAGACTTATTTTGCAGATAGAGCAAAGCTACCTATACAAACCGTAATATAGCCTACAGCTATGTTTTCTGTGCTTCTGCGACCGCACGTGCATTTTCCCGTTTTTCAATACTGGATTTTACGCTAATAATTAAATGACCAACAGCACACAGACCTTCAGGCTTTGGATCCTCATTATGGTTTCAGAGAATCTGCTGTATATTCAAGTGGTTAATTGGGGTGTTGTGTGAATAAAGTTTCTTTATAACAGAAGTGAACTGTGGTCATGTTTATCAGTGAAATTTGGTGCGGCAATGCTGGGAAGTTACATAGTTTAAAATTCACTCTGACACAATATTATCGCAACATTCTGGAAACACAAGATGCCATGTTTACCTGTAGCCTGTGTAAGATGTACAGGTATTAAAGGTGAAATTCTATCTAAAAAGCTGTTTTTCTGGGCAGTAAGCATTTATTTGCTCTTATTGTACAATAAATACAAATAACATTAAACCAGTAAGTGATGTTAATATTTTGTGTTCGAAAGCTCTCACAGTAGCAGCCCAGTATTGACTGTAGTTAGAATGCTGGTGATGGAATTGAAGAAATGCATACAGTGTCTGGAGGCGTCGAGGGGAAATCTGGAACCAAACCTGTGCTCTTCTAACTGACTCATATCAACTACTTTGTTGAAAACAAGAAAATCTAGTTATTTTTTTACTGTATTTGTGTTCATTATAATGCTATATATTTTTTGTTTTACTAGCAGAAACACTCTTACTGCCCAAATAAATGGTTTAAAATTATTTTAAACCAGACTTTGGCACAGCACCGTATTTAATAAATAAATGTGTATTTGAAATAAAATATATTTAAGGGGGCAGCAGATGCAGGTTGGAACTAAACTCTCCAGGAGGAGGGTTGGTGACTATTGTTCTAGATGAAAGGATCACAGAAAGAGAACTGTACCGCCTAACTAACTTCAGCTTCTTGGCGTGAGAATATGATGTAAAAAATTCCCACGCATGGTGCGCAGCTCAAAGGGGAATTCCACCAATGTTTCAAAATGTCCGCCTAACTCAGTCCCTCAGATGTAAATAGAGTCATTCAGAGTGGTTTGGTGCGAATTTGTAGAGTTCATTTGTAGAGAAACTTGCAGACCCAGATTTTTTTTATTTACAGAGCTGATAGGAACCAGTGGTCACAATGTCTACAACACTCATATAGACATTTTATTTACTATTCAAAACCACCAGTAAACCTACTGACTTTTTATATGTAATGTTGATGATGGTTAAATAGTCGAACATCTAAAACTAAGTTTTCATTGGGGACTATTTTGCCTTACAACACCCTGCATGTACCCCTCCGCCATGAATAGATTAAAAGAAACTGATTCTAAGCCAAAACTTTAGCACAAAAGTATCATAAAGCAATGTCTCATACATTAGGCTGCACTGAGAACAATTCTGACACTAAATTTTCTTTTCACACCAAACCACTCCGAATGACTGTGTTTGCATCTCAACCAGTTTATTATTAAGAATTTTTGAAAATCGTCCCCCTGAAAAGTTTCCCTTTAAGTGTGTTTGGGATACAGTATACCTGTTTCTTAAGGTGGCACGTGGGAAATTCATTCACATGCTTGAATGCCATTGTAAACAAGAAGCGTATCGCTGTGGTTATAGTGGCCTGTTAAATAATGCCCTAGAGAAGAATGTGTGTGTGTGTGTGTGTGTGTGTGTGGGTGGGGGGGGGGTGGTTAAGTCTTATATTAAAGCGCTAAAGCTCTCAAAAATATGCGGTTTAGGCAACGGCTACGATTTCAGAAGAAATGATTTCAATAAAACACTCAAAGTGAGTAGAAACTAACTGAGAATGAAGTTCTTCACAGGTCCACTTAAACATAAGCAGATATGTTGTCAGGAAAAGTGTGGAAACGTGATGGACTGTAACTAAAGTAAGCTGAACTAGTTACTGCTTCTGCTCAAAAGGCCTGTGTTAGCTCGCTGATAGCTCTGTTAGCTGCAGCACAGTCTCCTGATAAAAATGTAGTATTGTTACATAACAGCCGAGCGAGGAAATGTAAAGATGTTACTTTTGTTTCGGAGCGGACGTTTAGCTCTAACACAAATGAGACACATGTGATTTCTTCTCTCTGTGCTTTTGTGGTTTTGTAAGGCTGCTACGTTTCAGTGGGAGGATGGTTAGTAAGTTTTCTCTCAGCAACAGTGACGGACCAATGAGCAGCCGCGTGCAGCACCGCGCTCCACTCACAACTGCAGAATGAAAGGAAAGAATCCAGCAGACAGAAGAATGAATGAATGAATGAACGGACCGAGGTAGAGAAAGTTCTCCTCCTAAACAGCTTTCAGGAAGAGTTTATTTTTTACAGTTAAACCCTCAAAGAGACACTTTTAGTTTCTGCATTCTTCTTTTCTGCTGTTCAAAATTCAGGCTAAAGTCAAAGAACATAACGGATTGACTGTCTTACCAGTTTGGACGGAGTGAACGGGTTTAGGTCTCATCATCAGCCAAAAATAGCAAAAAAAAACAAAAACAAAATACAGCCAAGAGTGCGCGCGAGGAACACGGTGGGGTTTCTCCCGGTGGGCACCTCGGCAGCAGCTCACACACACTGTCAAGAGTCTGATAAACAGGAAGCAGGACGGAGGCATATAGCAGCGCAGAGGGAGGAGCTCATTTTTTGCCTGATAAAAAAGAGCCACCCACAGACTGCACGGTGTAGGGGGATTGGAGGAGCAGCCAGTTCGCGTGGGCTGGAGGCTGCGGCCAAACTGGAGGGAGAAGGGTTGGTGGGGTTGGAGGGGTTGGAGAAGGCAGCACAGAGAGTAGAAGTATAGATCTAGCTATAACGCTTCCCTATAAATCAGTCATCCATACCACCAATATCACTTAAACATGATACTCAGAAATCCTTTCAGTCCTTTCTTTGGATGCCAACCTTAAACCCCAGTAAAGCAATCTTAATTTAAATCCGTGTTCCAGCTGCGGAAGGAAAGAAGATCAAAAACAATAAAATCTGAAGATTATGTGGCTTTAGTTTATGTGGAAAAAAAAACATCAAGTCAAACTCATTTTTTTCTATTCTGGCACTGTTCCAACAAGGCACTTGTTATCAGACGCTGAGCGTAAATATAAGGCGCGCGCGGTTTGAAGTTCTGTGAGAGCTCGAGCAGAAACTAAACGGTGTGGTCTCTGAATGAAGACGGGCGACCGTGTGGTTTGTCCCTGAGTGAAGGTGGCTTCTTGTGGGTGAGATCGCTGGGACGCGCTGTGTCCTCTGTGCATATTGTTAAGCTTTGAACTTCATTTCGAAACAAACGCGCGCGTTCGCGTGTTTTCACTACTGTAAGCACATCCGCAACCACAAGACACCGCCGTGTTCACTCTTAAAACAGATGTGGTAAAATCAACCCATTCTGTCTCTAAACAGACACATCAGTGTGTTCAGTTGGAGACGACACATTTTGTGTTACTTTTAACACAGAATATGTGAAATCAGACAACATTATGACACAGAAAGTGTTAAAATGGGTAACACAAGTTAGTGTGTTGTTATGTTACACACCACCGTTTAGAGTGTTGGTTTGTCCTGCTGACAGTTACAGACACGTTCATATGATTAGGGGTAAAAATAAACACATTCTAACTGGAACTCGTGTGAATTGGTGACGTGCTAGTCTTTAGCGTAACACATTAACAACCTCGTTTAAGGTTTGCTAAGAGGGCTGTCACTGATGGCAGGATAAAAAAGTAAGTGAAAGACACGGGCTCTTGGATCTCTGACTCACTGTCACAAACCCAGTGTTGTACAGTTGTACACACACACGGGACGTTCAGGACCCGTGCACTTCAGTTTAGCTGTTCAAAAAAAAATAATGCAATTTTATTGCGTTCAGGGAAAGAAGGCCGCAGTTTTCACAAAGAGAAAAATATTCAACACCAGGCTTGAGCTCTTCATTTCCCCAGCGCCTTTAGCATTGACCAAAGGCATTTGTATATTTTCTATATGTAATAGGGAAATTAATACTTCCAACTATTCCGTCCTGTCAAGCAAGAAGATCTCATAACCTGTGGCAGAGGAAACCGTCCATGCTCGTGGGCGTCCATGCAGTGACTCACAGCACTGCTATGTGTAGCACCTGTACTGCGATCACTGCAGTAAAACCCCAGAACAGGCTGCTCATCTGCGCTCTTACACACGTTTCACGCTGTATTTTGAAGTACAGAGGCATCACAAATCCAACTAATAATGGCTCGTCGGTTGAACCTAAAACACCCATTATTCCGTGTGATTGCAATGAGCACGTTAGGCCCGTCACCGTTATTACATAATAGCCTAATCGCAGTTATTTTAGCTGATTGCACTCAACCTCCACATTAGATTTCACAACAATAACCATGTTTAAAAGGCAGCACCAGTAATATTTGTCGCTAATGTAGCTCATTCTAACGTTTTTAGCACGCATGCTGGCAGAATGACAGTTGTTTTTTTGGCTTATATTTTCACTCTCAAGAAAAAATGTAAGCTGTGCTTGACTACACACGATTCTGAGTAACTGAGGCATTTGTGTGAGAGTGTGTGCGCTGTCCTGGCCTTCCCAGGACCCTGGGCAAGACCTGTCTTGCCCCCCCCTTCACCTAAACCACCTTGACTGCATTAAGTGATGGCAACTAATTGCAAGAAAATACGTATGTATAATTTGATTATTTAAGTAAAATTGATATCAGGGCTTTCAGTGTATCTAGAAGACACTGTTAGAAACACAGTTAAATGTTCTGTGCAGGTACGTTTTTCGTTCATCAAGGTACAAACAATGTGAATGTATCATCAAAGGTACAACAGCAGTTTTAAGGTGTAATTGTGTACCTTAAATAAGTTTTTCCAGGTGAAAAGTACGTATTTGTACCTTTCCATAACCTGATGTTTTAAAACAGAACAATAAAATAAAAAGCCTGGAGACGAGACGGGGTGTGTGGATACAATACAATATAATTTTAATGGATTATGGTACAGTTTTGTTCCCTGACTAAAGGTGCTGATATGTACCCTTGAAGGTACCACCCCAGTGACGGGAGGGGTACCACCCTTGTGACAGTTTACTACCTTTATTTCTGAGAGTGGATGGTACTTCGTGAGGTTTGACTTGGAGAAACTAACTAGCGAATCAGCTAACGTTAGCAAACGTTATGAGAAGCTGCGTTCGCCCTCGACCCCCAGATCCAAGCAGACTAACTCGCTGTTGAACTCCCGCCTCCAGAAAATGATTCAGACTGAGACTTTAGGTTTGACTAAGCTCAAAAAAGTTATTTATGAGATGTAGAAACAAAAAATGTAAGTTCTAACGCGCCGTGTTCGTCTATTGAGTACACTGAACTTTAAATTGCTGGTTTGTTCACCAGTGCGTATTTTTTCAGGGCACTCCACGAATGTGACATACACCTACACAAATTGATCACTTACGCACACTTTGTTGAGACGAAGGACCGCAATGACGTGGCAAACACAATGATATTTTCACAATGTGTCGTTTTCACTAAGCTCACTGTCAGAAAAAAATGTGCACTGTAAAAATGGCTCGTCAATTCAACCTAAAAAATACTTCATGTAGTACCAAGCAATAGAACCAGTTTAATTCAACTCAAAAATACTTTGATCGAAAGAAAGAATTCAAAGTATTTATTTAGGTTAAATAAAACTAGTTCATTTACTTCTTACCGCATGAACTAATTTTTATAAAAAAAAATGGCTCGTCAATTCAACCTATAGTGCACCTTTTTCATTCACAAGGTACAAACATGTAAATGTAACCTCAAAGGTATAACATTGGTTTTGAGGTCCAACTGTGTGCCGTAAAGCCGTTTTTGACTGCAGGGAAAAGTGTCGCTATAAAAGCTTGTATAAAGCCTTTAGCTGGGCATGAAGGAAATAAATTAATAGAAATATTAACAACATGGGGCACCACAAAGAAAAGAAAGACACCAAAATAAGGGAAAAACTCGAGGTAAAGTGAGTCCAACTCGCTATAGTCTTATTAATTGTAAAGCTTACATCAGTAGACTCAGGATTTCAGGCAGTGTGAGCAGCTGTAGTGCATCACCGAGAAGAATAAAGGACAAAATAATGAAAAGGAAGTATGGTAAGAGGAAAGATAAAGGACAGGAGGTGTAGAAGACATTGTGGTCAGTTATAACAAGCGTCATTTGTAACAGTGCTTAGTGCTCTTGGCTGACAGTGCAGGGTCGGTAGTAACACTGTTACCGACTCTAACCGCCAAAAAATAATAATATGGACGATACACAAATCAGATTATTGCATAATTTCTAATATCTGTGTTTAACATGTTGGAAACAATATATACATACATACATACATACACACACACACACACACACACACACACACACACACAAGGGGTACATCTAATAACGTTGAAACCCTCTTCTGCACCTCTATAATCATTATACGTTTAGTTAGTTGTCGGCATTTTACATGTTTAGATGCGAAGAAATATTTACTAAAACTCTGTATATCATCGACTATCAGCAAAAGAGCTGAAGTTAATTTGGTGATATTATCTTTTTACTTCATGTTGTCTCCAATAAAATCCTAAAGCTCGTAATTAGGAGGTGGACAGAATTAAAGGCGAATTTCAAAAACGTGCGCATATGAAATGGTTCAGATGTAAACAGAGTCATTCAGAGTGGTTTAGTGTGAAATGCACCTTTCTAGAGAAGCTTATTAAGTTCTTCTTTTTAAAAAGTCCCTTTTCTTACCAGCCCTACTCCCGCAGCGCTGTCAGTGGGTTGGGATGGTAGCTGCATCTGCCTCACATGACTGGAAGTTTTGTTCTTGTAGATTTTGTAACGATGTTACATCCTCATACCCAAAAATGTTATATCCTTACGAATCAACAGAGCGAATGATCATTCAGTCAGTTTCTCTCAGCTTCTTCCCTCTGAGATTTTGTAAGGATATTACATTTTCAGTGAGAGAGTGGGCTGTTCTTCTCACCGCCACAGTGAGAGAGAGAGAGAGAGAGAGGGGGGGGAGAGAGAGAGAGATAGAGAGAGAGAGCGAAAGGGCATTAAACAGAGAGACACATGAATGGACAGACGCACAGACAGTTCTCATTAAGCTAAGAAAGCACAGACAGCTTTTTTAACTGAACCCTCAAAAAGCGCACTGAACGTTTCCACACTCGCCATTCTGCCTTTGGAGACTGAAAGTGGCTTACAGCGGAACACAATAGCTTCACTGTCTTGCCGGTTTGGATGGGCTGGAGAGGTCTGGGCGTGGTCGTCTTCAAACCCACAGCATACCATCTTGTTCCGCTCATAAAGCAGCTCAGCTCGGACAGCTTCCAGATCACAGAGCAGGAGTGAAGCCGAGGACACATGGTGAGGGGAGCTCTTCAGCAGAGAGATTCTTTAGTGATGAATAAAGCATGCCTGTGGCTTTTTTTTCTTCTTTCTGGATCTTTTCATTCCGCCGCTGTTACATTTCTTCCCTTTGATGTTGTTGTCTGTCCCTTGTTGGCAATTTTTAACAATGAAAGTTACACACGTGCGATGGTGAAACAGGCC